AGCTCAGGCGGATATTGTGGAGCAAAGAAGCTCTATTGTGTTTGCCAGTCATCACGAGAATCAAATGAACAAATTTAGAATACGCAAAATGGGCTGAAGTTCCTTTAGCAAAAAGCACTCAAAGACTGGTCAGGCTTAGTGAAAGAGAGTATGGGATATTCTTCCTGAAATTATAAATAGTAAACACTTGGACAGTAAAATGATCTGCCCATTTTGCTATTTGTGTAGTTGCTCTGTCTTTTAGAACATACAGTAAATCTAAAAAGATAGCAGATAAATTACTCATCCCTCTCCAATTTAAAAAATGACTAAATTATACACTTCAAACCACATATACAATATCACCTGGGGAAAAAAGAACTGTGCACCAAGCCAGGTGAGTCCATTCCCAATGTCAAGAGTTAGAGAAGTAACAAAAACAGATGCAAAAGAGACTACACCTAAACTTGAAAAGGTTCCCTGTTAATCCCCAAAAAGAAGTGTTGAGAGCTGATAAAGAAGGAATGACGGAAGAAGAACACAGAGCACATCCCCAGATGAAGACAGAAAAAAATATCAGAGACTCTGGATAGGAAGTAGCACAAACCTTCTGTATTTGGGACTCAAAATACCATCAAATTCAGACACCGCCCCCCCACCTCAGTAAGCTGAAAATAGGCCAGACAATGTTCCCATCGGAAGATGCTACTGCTAATTCCTTCAGCTGTGAATCACAAAAGGTTTTAGAGTAAGAACAACAAATATTTTCATGGTGCTACAACTGTTCTGGGACAAGTACAAAGCAGAACACTGATCTCTAACTGAGATTCACCACAAAATAGAAACAAAAGAGAAGATGGGGTGTTGCAGAAGAAGATCCCAGTTTTCTCTTCTTTGATATGTCTGGATCCTGCAGCTCTGTGTGCACATTCTCCTTGTCCCTCATGAAGGTCCCAGTCTGGGTTGGAAGGGACCTTTAAGGGGCCATCTTGTTCCGCTGCCTGCTATGGACAGGGACACCTTCCACTAGCCCAGGTTGCTCCAAGCCCCGTCCAACCTGGCCTTGGGGGGCCTTCCAGGGATGGGACAGCCACAGCTTCTCTGGGCAACCTGTGCCAGGGCCTCATCACTCTCACTGTAAAAAATTTCTTCCTAAAATCTAGTCTAAATCAACCCTCTTTTGGTTTAAAACCTGACAGAAGCAGCAGTACTGCCAGTTTACTTGCCACAAGGAATACTGGAAAATTTCTGTGTCCAAGTCCCCTGTCACACTGCTTGTCCCTGTTACTTTTCAGCTTTTGCTAACTTGCATCTGAGAGTAAACTCAATTCTTGGTGGTCTTACACATCTGCAAAAGGGCAAACACGCCTGCATTCAGGGCTGGGATATGGGAATACAGATACCTGAGCCTGAAATCCTCCTAATCACATCAAGGTTTCAGAAGAAAAAAAAATTTTTGAAACATTGAAAACACCCCATAAAACCCTAGGACACTGGCAGTAAGGCAGGCTTCTAGGGAAAGCAATTACCTTATTCCCAGAAGTTAGGGCATGTCTCTTAGACCCTTGCAAACTATGAGTTAGGAGTGACATGTGAGCTCCTATTTCAGGGCCTCGAACCTGCTGCTATTTTGCTGGGAAAAACTACTCACACATTTTGTGCAGTCACTATGGCTACACAGGGAAAGGCTAAAAAGTTCCAAAGCTAAGTGTGGGTGCTGGAGCCCAGAGACCCTGTCTGCAAAGCATGATGGAAGCAGGCCACTTGGAAAGGTCATCTGTGAGTGTCCATCACTGGAGTGGAATACCCATGGATCAAACCCAGAGGGATGAATCCCAGCCCAAAACCAAGGGACAATCCTTCACAAGCGCAAGGACAGCTTACTTGCCATTCCACATGCAAATTCTGTCCATGACTTTTGCTAGGGCAAGGGAGGCAGCAGAGAATCATGTAAAACGAATAACTGTCCAAAAATATTCAGCAGACCATCTTTTCGTTCCTTTTTCCTCACGGATAATGATGAGCCCTGAGGTGGCAGTGATTTTGAGCAACTAACAACTCAGACCTGGACTGGGATCAGTAACCTAATTACAACATGCATTTTGCTGCTTTCATGAGCTATTCAAGTATCTCAAAGAAACACAAAATTCTTCGTGTGTGTGTGTGTGTGATTACCCCAAACTGTCAGTGGTTAATTCCAAAAGCGTATCCTCACTTAAAAATGGTAGTTGTACCACAAATTAAACTATTATAGCCATGAGTAAAATTAGGTTCCACATTTGTACTTTCTAAAATATCAAAGGTATGGTTAGTAAAGTCTTTTGTTTAAGATCTCTAGAGTCCTGGAGGTAATGAAAACTGGGTCAAAGAGTAGTTTCTCTCAAAGTTTAAAGTAAATGCTGTGTTCAAGCAATACCTGCTCCTGTGACTCATGGAGTATTTGGTGTAGAGAATGGAACTACTGTAGCAACACACACACCCCAACAGTAGTACCACTGCCTCACAAAAAAGGAGGAAGGGGGGGAAAAGAAAGGCATAGCAGATGATTTTGAACAGTTTCCTGTTACGGTCCCTTGAAAGAAATCCAGCCATACTTTCTCCCTGCTTTCTGTTTGCTGAATTTCTCCTGACAGTTGGCTCCTTCGTTTGCCAGAACCACAACAAAGGACGGCCTTGAGTTTCCACACAGGCCATTTTCTCCCTCTCTCCTCTCTGATCATCTCACAAAGGTATTATTGTTGCTGGTTCACTGGGGCTCAGTGCACCTGAGGCACATCAAAGGCACTTTTTAGTGCCCGCCTGACCACACAGGTCTCTCTCCCACTGCATTAAATTAAACTCGATGATTAATCTCTGTAGCCCTGAGGGTCCCCTGGTGCACACAGAGAGAGAAAATATATATTTCTATCAAAACACAAGTATAATATACTTTCATTTTATAGCCCTAATTAAAAAAAGGAACAGCTAATTTCAGCCAAATGCAGCTGCATATAGGTCTCATTAAAACACAAATACAACTGCTCTGTGTGCTGTACATTCACTTCATGCAGCCTGTGCAGGTAATAGATAAAAGAACAGTAAACCAAAATCCTTTCACAGATTGAATCCAGAGAAGTTTAGAACTTACTTATTGTCTGCTGGCTACAGATTGTTATACCTCTGTGCAGATGAGTGAAGGAAGGCAGTTAAGGAAATGATTATAAAATGCTGAGTAGTTACATTTAAATAAAGATCCACTTAAATCTAGCCAAAAACTGCACAAGCATCTATTCCCAGGTTTGCATTGAAGTGATTAAGAGCCTTAAAAGGTTCTACCTTGTGCAGTCTGTGTTTGACTTCGGGTTGCTTTAATGACAGAACATTGACATGGACTTTCTCAAGTCCCTTTTGTTCTACTAGCATATTTAATGGAGCCACATCTCTCATGGTTGTGGAGTACGCACACAAAAAGTGCTGTGGAAGTGTCAATGCTGACATGCCATGCTCTAGTCTGGGAAGCAAAATAATCTATACTTGTGAACTGGGTCTAGTTAGAACTTACTGATATACAAATATTAAAAATTAATAAATAGCCACATACATGTGCTCCTACAGGGCTGGTTGTACTAAAGGAATAAGCTGGAGCCAGGTGGCCCATTGCCAGCTACTCAAGGCTGCCCTTAGACCTTTGGGGGAAACTGTCTGCGAGCTCCTCAGCTCATTTCAGTCCAGTATTATGTCTCTATTAACTCAACTAATTTTAACAATTTAAACTAACTCAGCTAAATGAAACAGGTTAGGAAGAGTTCACTCAAACAGCTTCTACTGAAAGGGCAGAAACCTCCAGCAAAAAACCTAGAAATAATGAAAGTAGTGGCAGGCTCAAAGGGTGACTCCTTCCCCCAGGACTGGTACCTGCAGGTGCCCCACCTGCCCTGTGACAGACACAGAGGTACCAGTGGAATTTTTCAGAGACAGAGCAAGTCAAAAGTGATGGAGTTTGAGGTTTGAAACTTTTGCTTAGGAAGGACCCCAAATATATTCCAGTTTGCCTACAGGATTTAAGCTCTTGTTCAATGCTCTGCTTCACAATAGTGGGATTATTCACGTCTTTAAATTCAATCATGTGCTAAAATGCTTTGCAGAACGACAATCCATGTGACAAGATCACCATTTATTCATGCTCAAGATAACCACGGGTTCACGCTGTCACTACAGAGACAACTTAACTTACTGTTAAGCCTGATGTTTTATTATCAGCCTCCTTTCTTTGTCTCTCCTGCCGCTTTCTCCATGAAGCATGTTAGTCCTCTCTAACACCTCTAGCACTCCCCGTGCCATTTGCTCCTTTTGGAAAAATCCAAGTTATAATCAGTCTAAATTTAAGACCAAAATGAGTTTTAAATAAAAAATGTGGCAGAAAGGGGTACTTATCTAAATGGAATGCTCTTAGACTCATACATTTTAAAACGGTATAAATTTCAAAAGTAGACACTAAATTTTAATTGCAATCTCAGAGAAAGCTTTTGTATTAATTCACTGAGAAAAATTAGCAACGTGAAAATTGCTTATTGGGGGTTTTCCTTCTTTTTAGTCATGATAAGTATCATAATTCTATACATCATGGCAATTTTCAGAGGAAGAAGGATTTATATTGATTCAGGGAAGAGGTGGGGGAGAAGGGCTGTGACTGAAGACGTGCACTCTTTCTCCAAAGTCACTATTCTGCAACACATTAGTGACAGGCTTGTCACAGATAACTCAGGCTCAGAGTCTTTGGCTCAGATTTCAGGCTGCTCTTTAAGCCACTCTGGCATCGTGGTTTTTACTTTCCATGTCATTTTTCAGTATTGATTTCTACTACTATTAAAGTTCTTGCCTAATAGCAAATGCACGGTAATTTATAATTAATATCTGAAGAAAAAGATAGAGTTACCAGAAAAAATTCAAGGGAAAGGAACTGGGTGAGAAGGACAAAGGTCACTTTTCCCTTCAAAAACATAAGTTAGTATATTCTGTACAAATTAGGACACACAACCTACCCCCATGTGGCACGAAGATGTTCCACAGATCATTGCAACTCGGGATGTAATCGGCTGGTTCTCACATGGCAGGTTATGTCCTTTCACATCTGCTCCAATTACTCCTATTAAAATAAAATTAAAGTTCTCTTTTAAAGAAGAACAAGCCACCCCTCACCAAACAGAGCTCTTCTGCACACAGATGATTGCTAAATAATCTGACACAACTGCCACAAATCAAGAAAGTCTACTTAGTCAATAAAGAAAATTATTTTATCCATCAGATTAAAATTTTTATTCCAGATACAAGGACACAAGATGATTTCTTCTATGTTCATGTTTATCATCACGATTTTTCAGTGTTATTTTGCCTATAACCTGACTATATTCTCTTAGGTAGCACACTGACATGCAGAGTAAAGAGGGCCCTGCTGTAATGGCAGGCTGCAGATGTGTTTATTTGTTCACAGTTTATCATGCACATCCCAGATGATGTGTTTTGTCAGAGGATGAGTTGGAGAAAGGGGTAACTTGGCAGGAGACTGGAAGGCTGCCAGCTTTGTTGTCTTCACTGCTGCTGCTCTTCTCTCCGTGTCAGAACCATCTGAAGGGAGATTATTCCTTCCCTTAGAGGAACTGAGCTTGGCTTTGAGGAGCCTCTGCATGCAGAACAGGACAGAACAGAGGACAAACTCAGCAACAATCAGGCTGTAGCAGAAAATACACCCAGGAGATGCCAGAGAGGTGCCAAGAAAACCTATGGCCAAGCCTCAGAACACATCACATCCTGCTTGATTCACTCCATGGGAGGTTACAGTGGGAATCCTGCCCTCTCCTCCTCCTCTCCCAGGCTGCATTCTTGCACCACATTGTGCTGCACTCAGCAAAATGCAGCAGTCCAACAAGTAACATTCTCTTAGTTGTCTTTTTTCGTCTTGAATATCACTTTTCAACTGGCAAACTGGTCACCAGACCGCTCGTTGCATCTGCACTTGCATCTGCAATGCTCAGTTTGGATACTAGTTTGCCAATCCTGCCAAAAAAAACCCTTTCCCCTCACTGTAGAAGGATCATGAAAGCACTTGCTGGACACTGTGAAGGATGCCAAGTGCTGTGGCTGGTTCATATCCTACATTTCATTAACACCTTCTTGTTTAGTTCACCACTGCAACATTCTTTTGGAGTTTGTCTTACTTTGAGTGCCACGGTTATCCTGGTATTATCATGGTTGGAAATCATCTAAATAATCAGAAAATTAAGGGGCTAAAATTTTACAGTCTTCAATAATCATAGGAATCATAATCTGTCCTTATGCCCCTTTATCTTTTAATTATGTGGTTGCACAGCTGTCAGGCAGAGAGTCAGGAACAAGAGAAAGCTAAAAGTAAGGCTTCTACCTCATATGTTTTATTTTTCACTGCTCCAACATGACATATATGAGTTCATATTAGGAATTTTGGATAGAGTTGTCTACAAGGCAATTTCCTGTACTAAGCAACACTATATTAGAATTTCTAAAGGAGCTAAAAATATTGTTCACACTTGAGAGGGACCAAATATATGAAACTGAATTGTTAACACATGTCATAAATGCATTTTCATAAAAAATACAAAATTAAGGACTCCATGTTTAGATATTTTTTAATCACTAAGAAAATATACATTCTGCAAAACAGGTGTTCTGGGCCTTTTTGGAGTTTCTGAGGGTAGCTGTACTAGTGTTTAGAGTCACAAGAGTCTTCCTATTCATGATTAATTGAAGTCAGAGAGCAAATGAGTCCAGAACATTCTCATAACAATTAAGGCTTTGATATTTTATTAGCTAAAAATAATATAATTGCTGTTATAAGTCACTTTCACCTCTAACTTGGTCGGAATTTTTCATAGTCCAGGGGCGACTCAACATCTTTTGAAGTATCTTAAGAGACACTAAGAACGAGAAATCTGTGCACCCCACAAAACATAAGTGAGATTTTTAGGAAAGCAGGCAATGTTTAGCATGTGCACTTCTGGATTATACAGGTATTTTAGATACTGTATAATAAATTATCTACTTTTGTTGAAACAATGCTGATGTCTTTTGAAAAGGTATAATGTAAACAGTGCTTTTATAAGGCCAGTCCCAAAGCCTGGCCTCCCATACTCACATTTTTATCTCTACACTTTTAAATTGGTACAGTACATCAAAATGTAAGGCATAACTACTCAGCTCTTGGATTTTTACTTTTCCATAAAAGGTATCAGATGGACCAATTCAGGAGTCACACATGACCTCCACAAACACAAATACTAAATAATTCTTTATCTGTACCTTATTTTACTCAAAACTGTGAAGCCTTTATAAACTTTAGGAACTGAAGTCTGCCCAACAAAATTGCACTTTATAGCCAGCCAAAAGTAGATGTGAACTACATCAAAAATTATTAACACCGAAGACAAGATGTCCATCATGTCATTCTGGTTTAGCCTGTAGGACGCCAAAGAGCCCTTTTCATTACTCTGCTGTTACAAACTATTTTTAAAAAAAACAGCAGAATGTGTTCACAAATAAGAAGAATGACACCCACTGGATGTTGTTATCCCCCAGACTAACCTATTGCCTACTACTCTACAGGTCGTATCCTTCCAACAAATTGTAAACCTCAGTATTTCAATACAGAACACAGAAGGGTTAAGAACTAAAACATATACCAGTGCCTTTCCTAAATATATGTTTTACATCAACTACAAGATATATTTATTTCTAATATTTTCACATTTTACTTCACTGTTTCAAATATCTCTTCTCTCTTTTCTTCTGTGCTCTTTTAATCATTATTAAAAGATTAATATGATTTAGTGCATTGCCATCCTTGGTGTCTTTTAACCAGAACAGTTTAATTTCCTCATTATATTATGTTTCTTCTACTTTTTGCATTTCTGCTTTACCTTCAGGAATTTCAGCTCTGTATTCTACACAGTGCAGGTAAAACTCGACTTGAAAAATATTTAAATTTCTTGTTATCAACAGCTAGGGATGAAGGATTTATATTCAGCATTTCAGATGTGCAGCCACACTGTTTATTCTCTTTACATACATTTGCACTCTACAGTTCTCCTTTTTCTCCTGTTGTCACTTCTGTTATCAAAATCTTTTCATTTTTTCTGTCTTTTCTACTAGTTCCCCTACCTACTTATGATCCTTCCCAGACTCAAGGATGAGTTCCATCTTCAATCTTCCTCTTGTCCCAGACTGTAGAGCTATCATGTGATCACCACTGCCTTCCTGACTCTTCCCTCTGTGATTCCCCTCTCCCTCTCTAACAACAACCTGGATGTTGTGTTTTCCTTCCCCTGGCAATCATTTCAGTAGTCTGCTCATGTTTGTGGCGCCATCTGGGAAAACATATTTGGATAAACAGGACTAGCATAAGCAGACTGTCTCAATCCACTGAAGCCCTTCTCTGAGGGCTGTCAGTAGTTATGTATTTCTAATGTCAGAGTTTCTTTACAGAAGTCTATAAAAAAAAGAACGGACAGTTGCTCTCTATTCTTCTTTAAATTCAATTAACTGATTTCAACACATGAAACTTTCTGTGCTCTGGATCCAGTACTCACATCATGATGCCAATTAAACAAGGTCCCTCCACTGCCACATTTTCAGGTGCTCTGTGACAACCCAGTTTTGCAGCAAGTTCATTATTTCAGGTCAGTTTATTATGACATCCTTTTCCAAGAACACAGAACTGCCAAGGCACACAGTTAAACACATTTTTATGCAGTTGGGATAATAATTGACACGAAAGATTTTTAAGTCAGTCACAACAGTAGGGGCACAACACATCTACAACTATGACACTAAAGTTCAGTCCTCCTTTTTGCACATAGATATTAGATCTATATCTAATCCCTCCGAGGTGGTAAGAAAAGCAATCTGCATGATTACTAAACCTCATCAGAAACAGTGATCAGAAGCAAAGTGAAGGGATTTAAACATTTTAAAAGTTCCAGACTCCAGCTTCTAGAAGAACAAATGTGACTTAAAACAGCACAAAATATTTGAAACAAAACTGGTATTTTAGCAGATAATCATATTTCAGTTCAACCTAGAGAAAAATCTTCTGATGAGCAATAGATTTCCAGTGAAAAAACTGTTTCAATAACACTGTAACTTCCTGAGGTAAGACTTTTTTCTAAACAATGAAACTAAATAACCTCAATTTCCTGCTGAAAAAGTTACACTGAATCTCTTTGTTATTGACTGCGTTAAGATAAGGCTAAACTACATAGTAAGAAAATGAAGGCACTGAACCTATCAAATACATTTCAACACAACTGGGCACATCAGAACAGGATGCTGGAAAAGAAACAAAGTCTAAGCATCAGGCCTTAAAGCCTTGAAGCCTGAATCACTTCTAAAACTAAGGAGAAAGATGAACTATGAACAAGCCTCAGATATGAGGCTTCTCCCTCGGAATGTTACTTTTTTATTTTTCTTGCCTATCCCCAAAGTTTTGAGCAATAGAAGATGCAAACTCTCAGCATGTTGGCATTCCAACAGAATGGTACTTGGGCTCTGGAATTCAAAGTGGAACTAGCAGAAGTTACTGGGATATATATGAATATAAACCCAAGAACTGGGAAATTCAGATGAAAAGACAAATAACAGTGATAGCTCCTTTCTATAAACAAACATACAATATTAGCAGTTATTGGGATGACATTTTTTTTTTTAAGAATAGCATCAGTTGGATAAAAACAGGCTGTGAGAAAAACAGCTTTCTAAGGTTAATTCAGTACATTCCCAACTCCAAGAATAGTAAACACATGAGTGAGTACCTAGTCCTCCAGCATGTGCATCAATGAGAGATGCTGCCACTGCAATCCCTTCGGGGAGACCCAGATCTTTGGCAGCTTCTGGCGTTAGACCTTTTCCAACGGCCTCTCCAGGAGACAAGACGTGGTTTCCTGGGCAGACACAAGAAAAACCAAACACCTGTCAATTTACTAAACAGAAAAACCAACGTGTATGTTATTACAAGAACTCCCTTCCTCTCCCTCAAGTCAGCCTGGGATTCATAAAACAAAGAAGTGCATCAAAGAACTCAGTGGGATGGAGAAGGATCTTTCATTATCTGTCTGTACATTAAACACAACCAGGCTGGATCAGGCTGTCCCATAGCAATTTAGAAGTTCAAAAGCATTCAATGTCCTATCTTGCCACAGAGAAAGATTTCACCACAAGCAATTAAATTCTGCTTGGCATCTTTCCAGGAGATATGAAATGCAGAAATCCCAGACTCCTGGGGCAGTTGCTGCCTGGGCTGCCTGAGCCACTCTCTGGGCATAGGAAGGAGACTCAGCTCAGTCCATGCTCACAAATGAACACTGCACCTGTTGCACAAGGAACAGGCCAATTTTTTTTTCCATTTCCATCCCTTCCAGCAGTTACTACTAGGAATAATGTGGCTATAGCAACAGAAACTCTGAAAAAGAAACTGGCTTAAGCAGCAAATTCCTCCTGTTGCAGCTGTATTTCCTCACAGACTTAAATAATGTCTTTTTGAGCCTTCCCTGGCCTTGTGCAGCGTGAAGAAGGCAGGGAACACAACCCCTCCCTCCCAGCCCTGTCACTGGGGAGCCCAGGGGCAGGTCCTGCCTGTATTTCCCTCCACTGCCATAACACATCCAGTTCTGTCTTGTGAAAAGAGACTGTTCCAATAATTAAATCACGGTGATAGAAGCTGCTCAGACTTTAGAAGAACAAATCTAGATTCATTAAACTATCAGAATTTAAGGACACCCCCGAGAGCCTCCTCTCAGCCTGCTGATAACCCCAGGCAGTGAGACCAACAGCTCCTGGGAATGCACACACTCCACTATTTATCTAAAGGTTTGGGGGTGGGAGGCAGAGAAAAGTTCAGTGGGAGCTCCCAGAGATCTCCCTGCCAATGCCAGGGCTTTTAGTACATTATCTGTAGCGTTTACTAAATTCAACACAGCTGGACAGAGTTGGCAGAACTCCTTTTTAAAATACAATCCTATTTTCAGGGTCGATTCTATTGTGAATGTTACACCTAAAGCACATTCTGATGTTTAGAAAGGACACAACAACCCTCCACAACAGACATTAATTAAGAGGAGTAGCACATCATAACATATCAGGAATACACTAATGCCCATGAGCATGAACTTCTAGAAATGCAGTTATACTGCCTGTTGGATGAAAAGATTATGGTATTAAATTCACAGGTATTAAAATCACTTTGCTGTAAATGATGTTGGTTCTTCAGTTTAAGAATTCACATTCCCCTTCTGCCTACTTCCTGAGGAATGCAGTGTATGGAGCACTTTGGGATCACACAGCACACACAGCTTCATGGTATGAAGTTCATTTCTCCAAGAACTTCTATTCTATTGACAGTCACACACCACTGAGCCTGAAATTTCAGGCTGAATCTCACACTGGAAATTTAAAACAAGTCTATATAGCCCGAATTTTTGCATTTGACTTTGGTTTATATTCAAATATTGGGGGCAATAACCAAACTTCACCATTAAGTTTATACAGAAGGATGTGATGACATTACATGACCTCCTCACAGGAAAAAAAGTCTGTATTTTATCAATTTTATACTTCATTAATTACTTATTGTAAAATCAAAACACCGTGCTATCTTTTTCAAAAGGTGTATCTTTTGCATTTTTTCCCAATAATTCAGAGTGTAGAATGTTTCTCTTTAAGAGAATTCTGTATTATCTTTATGGATTTTTTTTAAGACATTGGAGAAAAATACCAGTAAACCAAAGCTGTTTGCTTCTCCTGACATACAAAGACCCTGCAGGTGGGAGGAAGTTCAAAAGAGTTCATGCAGCTAAACTCATATCTTTTTCTTCAAAATCAGTTGCCAGACCTGAAAGCACACAAACATGATGTATATACAGCATGAGATTAAGTTAACTTGAAATAAAACCTCTTTCCAGGCACTCCATTCCATGGTTGACTTGTTTATATCAGTCATACTAGCCAAACATTTCAGTGTCTAATTACCATACTCCATTTTAGAGATCAGGGCTACTATTACACAAAATCTTTTCCTAGCATCTTCTCAATTACTGTATTTCTAGTTAATAAGCATTGAGGGAGCAATTTCAGAGATAAAGATAATCCTCCCTTCTACAGCAGTAGAAGAAATGAGCCTACAGATTCCTTTGGAGTAGGGAGCATGTCTGAAGGCACAGGGGATGTGCCAGGGCAGTGGGCCCGAGAGAGCATGCGCAGGTCACATATAACTCTATTGGCTGAAGAAGTCACATGGTAAACAGGGATATAAGGAGCGGGAATTTTGAAATAAAGCCTCTTTGACCACACCACCGCACGAGGAGCGTTATTATTCCTTGTTATACAAGGGCCGCGCTACTACACTTTGGTACTGGTTTTACATCAGAATGACCAGCAGCAGCACTGCTATCTCACATGGCAATGAAGTGTGTGAGAATGTGCAGGGATGGGCTTCTTGAAGATGCAGGATAATCATCTTGTATTTTGAACAAAATAATTAATACTAGAGTCTGTCCCACATGTTTTAGGAGTCAAAGTACACCTGAACAAATATTCCTTGACTGAAAGTACTTCCCAGCAGTCAGAAGTCACCCATGACAGGGATTGCAAAGGAGAGTCTCCTGGGTCACACAACAGCCAGGGAGTGCGGAAAAGAGGTGCCGGAAAATGGGTGCACAAGGAAAGGATTCTGACTCTGTCCCTCTACTTCATACTTCCAGCTTTAGAGATCAATGCAAGCTCTGCTACACCCATACAATGTGGTCAGAAGGAGCTTTGTAAGAGGGAAGGAGCAAGATCTGCCTGGCCACTCTTTTGGCATCACAGAATTTGCCTCTCCACTTACACAAGTGGGAAAAAGTATGTGGAATGGACACTGAACCACACGGGTAGAGACCTGGGAAGGGAATTATAAGTCTCATGGTTTAATCTTCACTGAGAAACTAGAAAACTCAGCTAAGCATCAGTATTAGAATCTGTAAATGTAAAGTTATTAAATGATAAAACATACAAAAAGTAACCAGTGAGGAGCCACAATTAAAAGTGAAGTGTTTGAAACTGCATTCCAGTACCAGACTGGAAGGAGGGAACAGATTCTTACTTGAGCAAAACACAGCAGCTTTAGAAATCAAGGGACAGATACTACAAACATAAAGGTATTGTACAGCTACACACCAGCAATTCAGAGCAGGTGCTGCCACCCCTAAATCCAACCTGTTAGGGGAAAAAGAAGCTGTGGGAGGGGAAGGGAGGCAAGTGAGAGCTGCCTGCACAGAGCCGGGCAGTGAGAGCAGGGCAGAGGCTGCATAAAGGAGGCACTGAAAGGCCCAAAACTCCTCAAGGCTCCTGCCAAAGTAAATGTATCGAGTCCTTTGTTTACAGTAGTCTCCTGTGCAAGTCATTTACCTTTGCTATAATGACTTCCAAAATTAGACCTAACCAAACAAACCCATAATGGCTGAAGCTGGAGGACTTTCTGTTTCACATTCGTGCAGCTGTCTCACTAATGCAATGCCTTAATCCACAACCTTTCATTTGGGACGAGACAGGCTATTTCCAGTTACTTTTTTCCCCTGTAAAGCAGCGAGTTTACAAAAGGAAAAAGCTGTCTGAATCTCTTCCTCTGCTTTTATCCTTCTTCGAAGACTTGTATTAGAATTTGCTATAATCAAGCTTCGCTTGAAGAATTTCTGTGCTACCAAGGACCCTCTACCTTTTTAGGTGGTTCCCACAGGAACCAGCTATTTACAAAACACAACACACAAGGCAGATAATGTATTTTCAGTCAACTTTAGTGATCAAAATACACTGTACTGGCTTACTAATATTTAACAGAATGAGGTACTTTAGGATGTAGCCCTTTTTAAAACAACAAAGCCAAGCCCAGCAGGGGCCCAGCTGACTGAGCTGTGATACACTCACCCAAACAGCTTTTCATCTATCATGCAGAACAGGGCTGCACTTCACATGCACTTATATTTGGCTAAGTGCTTAAAAATTCAAAAGGAATAAAATCCAAGGGAGATGTCCCTGTTCTTCACTAATTTGACACAAGCAAACTTGAATTTGGGTCTATCAATCCCTTGCTGAAGTCCCAGCAGCCTCAGAAAGAAACTCAGCTGGATGGTACATCCCATCCCCATTTCATAGTCCCCCAAACTGGACAACCTAAATGCCTTCTGGTTTAAAAGATCATCCAAAAACCAGATATCCTGTTAAAAAAGGGATATAGAACATGCACTGAAGAAGTTATCTAGTCAAACAAAACAGTGCTAAATAAGCATCAAAGGAAACAGGATCTCAGTAAAAAGAAGCGTCGTCCATTCAGATGGATCTTGTAATAGGCAATGTAAGGGATTTTCCCCCTTGATGTTTTGTTCATTACAAAACATGGAGACAAACTCCAATTTTTGTATTTTATAATAATCTCACAATGCCAAGAGTCTAGAAATAATATAAATAATATACATCATCCCAACCCTATCTCATACACAGTCAAACATCCCTCTCAGTTACATACAGTACTCACATTTAAGTGAGATGTATATGGCTGCTTTTCTAGAATTTTTAATCCAGCTGAATAGCCAAAATAGTGCTAAGATCAAAGGAAGCAGGATAATGATGCAGACTATAAACTATAATACTCACTTTTTCTTAGGACTGAATGCAAGGTGGATAAAGGATGTAGAAACAGTGAGATCTGGGGCTTTTTTAACCTGCAAATACCCTCCACAAAATTTCCTGGTTGGTGGTTAAAGACTTTAGCATTTGCACTGAGGAAAATCAACCCAAAATGTGATATTATAGGCTAGGTAACATAAAAGTGAGAAAAACAGTTGGTTAAACAAAACCACCTTAGCTTTCTTCAGATCAAAATCCATCTCTGTCTACAAGAGCTGCCACAGGA